ATTACACCTCCTGTAAGGGTGTCTTAAATTAGGATTTAAATCATTACACTAACAATTGTTAATTAAGGACTAACCCAAAGGAATTATCCTATAAGAGATTAACCAAAACAAATCCTTAATATATATTTTCACAAACTATTTAAAACAAGGGAATCCCAAGTAGTTAAAATATTTCAAGAACTCACATTATTCAATTAAACATATGCAGAAGCATGAGATTAATTAAGTATTAAGAAACACATCTCAAGATGGGAGAGAAACTTCCCCCTTATTTTATCTATATGTCCTACTCCACGTAGTGTGCGCGCGTGTGGTGTGTATTTACCAACATAATACTTGACTACTCAAACCCTTCCATAACTAGCAGTGGGGGGCCAAAGCCTCAATCACATTTATCATAAAAATTGTCACCTAGTTATTATACTCTATACATTATCTAATTATCAATAGCACATCACATGCATAAATTTCCTTTTGCATTTATATATAGTTAATATTAAGTATTCACTTTGGACATAAAAAACATAAGGGGATACTATAACAATATTCAAATTCTCAAATCACGCATATAATAACTATTTTTACTTGCACAAATATTTTGGCCTACTAATATAAATATAAGCACCAAACCGTATTCCTAAGGGCCTAAAATATACTTCCACCCAACATAAAACCCATAATGCAAATGGATCTAAAATGCATTGTCCTAGTTGGCAATAGTATAAACTGAATACACATATCAAATAAAAAGGAAGGCTTGCAAAAGTGATTATTATCACTTGGTCTGATGCTCCTTTCTTCTATTCTTCCCAAATGAGCTAATTCGTGTAATATGTTAAAAGAAAAGGGTGAGTACAACTACTCAATAACCAATGTACATCTAAATTATACAAATACATGATAATTAATCATGAATTCAAGTGGTTGATAAATTCATCAAGATGACCATGCAAACAATCATATCAAGATTGTGCTAACCTCATGTGCATCTAACTCATCTGAATAATATGAAGAATAAAGTCAAGTACAAAATTGGCACAATTTCCCATAAGCACTGAATGTTCGTATAAAATTGGCACAAGTGCTCGCATGTACATTTTTCACATATTTACCATGTTTTCATTTCTACAATTACAATTATAGTCTCAAACATAGCTATCAATCACTCAAATGACGTAGCAATAATGAAATGCATGATCAATCTCTTCCTTATATCTTCCCTTCCTCTGAGATGAAATCCACGGGCCAACAATCAAAAGGGATCATCCATGTGGTGAGACTACCCAAAGTCTTAATCATATCATGAGAACTTACTAGGTCAATATTACCTCACTCACTTATGAACATGATTTTTCCCAAATCACACATTATGGGGTGTCATATTCAAGACTAGCTCTGTCAAAAACTCCAAGCAAGCTAGTAGGGTTAAGTTCCTTAAAAGAAATAATACCATAATACCCTACAAGGTAAGCAGTGACTATAGCTACTAAGATTAATGGTTAATAGCCAAGTATCATATAGATTTTGCACAACCACTAACTCCTTTAATAAGGTGAACTCTTATTGTACGATCATGCTCGTGAGAAAATACATTTCAATAAATCTAAATATGTAATTCATAATTATCCTACATGTTTATCAAATTTTTCACGCTCAGCAAGCATAAAAAATTATTTTATTTCAATCATGCTTCATGCATTAATTTTCATTTCACCATATAAATCATATTCTCATCATATGAAAAGTTAATATGCTCATATACAATTCATCACCACATATAATCCATAATTTATAATCAAAGGGTATATGCATCATCATCAACCTTCAATCGCATTACTCAAGTCATGTCACATTATCCCATGAAAGCATAAATTAATATTAATATTTCACATTACAAAGCAAGCTTTCATATTCATTTCTTTTTCTCCACATACATCCATCACATCAAATTCTTTATATATGCTACAATTAATTTTGTCACAAATCGTAGAATCTCAACAAGGCCACATATATTCATTTGTTTAACAAATATAAATAATTAATTAACACATAAATGTATAAAATAGATTTTCTCCCAGTTATCTTAACCTTTGAGAGATCAAATATTACCCCTCTAATACTTCCAAAACTTTTCAAAGCTTGAATGGTGTAAAATAAAAATTAATCTATAATTAATCATATTTTAATGTGTCAATAATATTATTAACACAATTTTTACTTATATTTTAACACAAAAGTGCGTGTGCGTGTGTGCTTGTGTGTTAAGACGTTTGTTTTAGTATTTTGAATTCTAAAATTCAATTTCATATATTTGAACTTATTCACTTAGTTTAATAGCTTCCTTCACAATAGTTTTTTTTTGAAATTTGGCTAAAATCATCTTTCAAACAATTTTCTAATATCAAAATTTCCCCTTTTATTTCATAAATTCGAACGTAAAAATATCAAAAAATTACAAATTTGGTCTCAAGCTTAGAATCATCATTTTATAGTCATAATAATCTATTTCTCATTTTAATAATTATCTAAACATCAACAATTCAACTTACATTTTTAAATTTAACCAAAAATTTATTCATAGAGGTTTCAGGTTTAACACATATACCTTAAATTCAAATCTCATTAACAAAACAATGTTCTAGAATATTTATTATATTACTAACAATTTCATTAACCATATTTATTCATAAAAAAATTCACCTCTTTTCAAACTTTAGATTTTTCATAATTTCAAAATCAGAAACTAGAAAGAAAAAATGTTTAAAAAATATTTAGGATACTTACATATCTTATAATACTTCAAATCTTATTCAAAATATTCTATTATAGAGCTCCAACTTCTAATTCAGCTCCCATCATTAGGAACTTATGCTCTCACTCTCATTGTTTACACCCGGGGAAATGAAAGAAAATGGAAGGAAAATGAAAAAGAAAAACACGGGTGAGTTGGTCCCTCACGCTTTTCTTTCTTCATCTTTCATCTCTCTTTTTTTTCTTTTTGTTTTTTGTACATCACACGCGTGCACACGGATTCTCCAAGCTGTTCTCCTATTTTTTTTATATCCCTTTTCTTTCTTTTTTTAATATTTCTATTTTGTGAAAAAAATCATAACTTAAGATTTTATCTAACTTAGATCCAAATAATAATTCTATAACTAAAATTATTTATCTCTAATTATTTTTTCAAAATTACTCATTTGCTCTCGATCAACTTAATTAATCTTGGGTTAAATTGTGGAATATTATACCTCCCTTTTGTGTTTAGTTTTTCATTTCGTTTTCCAATGAATTTTTAACTTTTCTTTTTCCAACGAATGAAAATGGAGTTCGAAAAATGAAAAAACAAAAGAGGGCAAAATCATAAAATATTTTGATCAAACTTCAGTTAATGATCAATGTTTGTGATTTTTAACGATAGGGGTGAAAATGTTCTATTTTTAAAACTTCTACACAAAAATGCTTTAAACAAAGTTTAGGGTGCTATGTGCCACTAAAGAAAAGTTCTAGAGTATTTTTACTATTTAACCCTATAAAAAATTAGACATGAGCAGATTTTGTTTTGCCTCCAATAAGTAATGTTGAATTCTTATAATTATATTATATTATTTTTAAAATACATTAATTAATTGAAAAAAAACAACCAATTTTGTTAAATTATTAGCAAAATGCTTGAGCCATTGTTTTATCATGACACTATGAAATGTTGTTAGAGGATGTAACTTACATTTTAATAAGATCATTTTGAATAAAATAACCTTCTTCAATGAGTTGTTCAAGCGTTCGCTTGATTATTATTATTTAATTGTAAATCCATAATGCACAAAATTAAGTCTAGTTATATAATGGTTTTAAGTATATAAGTTAAACGAAATTAACTATAGACATTCAATTCGAGTGTTTTTCTTTCCTATTATGATTGGCTATTTTCAATGATATTTAAGTCCTTTCTATCATTGTAAGGTATTGTAGTTAGTTATTTTTTAATTACCATGACAAAGTTTGATAATTGTTGTTAAGTCTGTGGTTAAATAAGATGATATATCGTAATATGCAAATGATATAGTTTACTGAATTCATACAAGAATTTCTCTATTTTAAACACTATCATTTGTTGAAAAAAGTATCATGTTAATATTTACTTAATATTTAATTCCTTCCCTTGTTTTGTTGGAAAATAGAAGAGATGAGAGATTTTAATAAATTTAATTTTTGAATAAAATACCGGAATCCATCATTAAAACAAACTAAATGAGATTTTGAAATTTGAAATTAATTTTATTTACACTTTTCTCTTAGTCACTCCCATTCAAAATATAAGCCTTTTCAATCTTGGTCCAAAATCTAATTAACTCAGTAGTTATATGAATTTTTTCCTCATTTACTCATTGCATTTATTAGTTTGAATTCTTATACTCGTTTATTACATTCTTTTTACTCATAAATGGTAATTGAAATTGAAGATAAATAATATATATTTTTATAACAATAAATATTTTATTGATATGTGAATTATTGTTGAAAGTTGCTTCTATATTTAGATCGAAGGGAATGTATTTTATTTATATTAAAAATTTTCAGCTTGACTTATATTTTATAAATCAAATCCATTAAAATTTTCTCTCTATCTTCATTCTTCTTTAATTAAAATGAGAGTTTATGATTGAGAGTTTATGCACATGGGTATAAAATTTAGTTTTTTTTTTGGGGTAAAGGTATAAAATGTAGATGATTGATTAATTAAAAATTAAAGGTTGATTTAAAATATCTAAAAAAGAAATGAACGCTGTCCAACGTCCAAAAAGCAAACATATTAATGTACAACCGCCCCAGCGGGCTCAAGGCTCAAGCGTGCATTTTTCGAAAAAGAACCAAAAAATTGAGGAAAACGACGAAAAACATGGCTATTTATTCGGGTATTAGAATCCGACCCGATAGAACATGCGACAAATGGGAAATTTGGTGATTTCTTTCAATTAATATAAAATCCAATTACTGTGACGCCTTTCCAACTAAATCTTCCCTCGAAATTCTTCCATGGTCTCCTTCTCTGTGAATGTAAGTTTCAGGTCCTCGAAAGTGTGAGTTTTTCCGTGCATGCTATATTGAGTTATGAATTCGGGGTGATTCAAATGGGGAAAGGTAGACCTAGGGCTGTGGAAAAAGGTGTAGCAGGACAGAGTCTCAGTGTTTCATCGTCTGGGTCAGTGAGTATACCGTCAGGACCTGTATATTTTCCCACCGAGGATGAGTTCAGAGACCCGTTGGAATATATTTATAAGATTAGACCTGAGGCTGAGCCATATGGAATTTGTAAGATTGTACCACCAAAGAGTTGGAAACCCCCATTTGCTTTGGATCTAGATTTTTTTACTTTCCCCACTAAAACACAGGAAATTCACAAGTTACAGGCTCGTCCTGCAGCTTGTGACTCCAAGACTTTTGAGTTGGAGTACTCTAGGTTTTTAGAGGATCAATGCGGTAAAAAGTCAAGGAAGAAAATTGTATTTGAAGGGGAAGAACTGGACTTGTGCAAACTGTTTAATGCTGTTAAGAGATATGGTGGATATGATAAGGTTGTGAAGGAAAAGAAATGGGGGGATGTTTCACGGTTTGTAGGGCCAAGTAGAAAAATTACCGACTGTGCAAAGCACGTCCTATCTCAGTTGTACTCTGAACATTTGTATGATTATGAGAATTTCTATAGTCGGCTGAATCAAGAGACAGGCAAGAAAGGCATGCTTGAGGATGAACAAAGTGATCATGGCATTCGATCTTCAGGATCCAAGAGGATAAGAAGAAGTGTTGATTGTTTGAAAGTTAAGGATTGTAAAGTGCAGGAGGAAGAACATGACCAGATTTGTGAGCAATGTAGAAGTGGTTTGCATGGGGACGTAATGCTTTTGTGTGATAGGTGTGACAAGGGCTGGCATATATATTGTCTGTCTCCACCCTTGAAGCAAATTCCTCCAGGAAACTGGTATTGCTTTAATTGCTTGAATTCTGACAGAGACAGCTTTGGTTTTGTGCCTGGTAAGCAATACACTTTGGAAGCCTTTAGACGTGTGGCTGATCGGTCAAGGAGGAGATGGTTTGGACCAGGACCTGTTTCTAGGGTGCAGATAGAGAAGAAATTTTGGGAAATTGTAGAGGGATTGGTTGGTGAAGTTGAGGTTATGTATGGAAGTGATTTGGATACATCTGTCTTTGGAAGTGGTTTTCCACGCTCAACTGATCAGAAACCAGAGCCAATTGATTCAAAATTATGGGATGAGTACTCTTCTAACCCATGGAATCTTAACAATTTGCCTAAATTGAAAGGGTCAATGCTTCGAGCTGTTCATCATAATATCACGGGGGTGATGGTACCCTGGCTGTATATTGGGATGCTATTCTCATCCTTTTGCTGGCATTTTGAGGATCATTGCTTTTACTCAATAAATTATCTACACTGGTATGCTGCAGTTTCTTTTACTGTTGTTTTCCTTTTAACTTTATCTCATATAATTGTTGTTTGATTTTCTAGCAGAGGAAAACTAAATTATGTTATGTCTATAAATATGAAACTTTTTCCTGTGTTTAGATATAGGATTTAACTAGTTCAAGTTACTATAGACTTGCTATCCCTGGTGAAAGATGAAGCATGCTTGTCAAGTATATGATGACATGATAATAAGATCTTGCATTTGATTCTATAGGGGAAGATATAATAATATCAAATTGATCAGCTGCTTTTGTATACTTGAAATGCATCACGTAAAGTTCCAGGTCAAAATAATGTATCACTTATTGTTATTGAATCAATACAACAATATAGGGTCAAAACAAATGTAAAATGCATATTAAGCAGCCTTTCTCAATGATTGAAAGAAGTCCAAATGAGCAATCTATACATAGAAATTCCTTTTTATGTTTGAATGTAAAAAGTACTTTGTGAAATTCTACTTCCACGAGCAGTCATGTTGCTTCTATGCATGAAACTAAGAGAACCCCAAACTCACACAAGCAAATATAGAAAATAGAATAGTAACTCATATTACAGAGATGAATGCAAGAATCTTAAACCCACAACTCTTTTTATTTTCTTCACAAAACACACACAACTCTACTAATTGGTCTGTAGGGCATGGAGTACTCTGCCAAAGGCATCAAACTAATCTATTCTTGAGCAAAATATTCTACTAATTTTCCAAGTTAAGTTCTGATCTGTTTATACCTAAAACAGTAAAACTGAGACCATTAATGCTGCCCAGCATGAGTGGAGAATTTTTTAGTGGGCAACATTAGTTGGAAATGTTGATAGTAGTGGGAGAATTGGTAACATGTAAAAAAGTGAGGGATTCTTAGAAGAGAAATTGGGGCAGTATAATATAATGGAGAGTGGGGATGTGCATGGAAGGGGGTTATTGTTTCAGAAACCCTTTTCATTTGCCTTGTGTGAAATTCATCTCTCAACATCTTTAAAGATGTTGCAATGCAAATGAAAGAATGCTTATAAGTTGGAACATCTATAGTTATATGGCATTAGGGCAGTGAAAAGTCTCATTGTTACTGTTATTTTCATTGGGGGATTAAGACTCGTATATTGCTTAATCAATGAAAAAAACATTTAGCTCTGCCAAAGAATTATTTGCAGTGATTCATTAATTTGATTTTAGATAAACTTGATATCATCTTTCTTGTCAAATGCATGGCATTTAATTTATATATTATCTTATTTTGTTCTGTTAAGAGGGGTAGAGGAAGGCAAAAAAAAAAAAAAAAAATAAAACACTTATGGAATTTGTTGACCAAGATTTCTTAGTCAATAACATTCCTAAAAGCTTGGTAAGTGATAGAGTATAATGGTATCATACAATTTATGTAGCCGATTCCATCTAGTGGGATAAGGTTTCTTCTTTTTCTTCTTGTTGTGTTATCTTATTTCATTCTAATGATTTTCTTAAGAATATCCTTTCCATATGTGTCTATGTCTTTTTGTGGTTAACTTGTTTCTTTAACCGTTGAGGGATTGGAAAGTGGAATGCTTATAGGAGGCAAATGATTGTAGCTTTCTGACAAATCTTGTAAGTTTTATTTTTGAGTTATTATGAGTAACAAGGAGCAAATTACTTTGATTTTTGTATCCTTATCATTGGCAGTCAACAAAAACTTGTAGTTCTTTAGGTTCATTACACAAATAGATTCTGGTTTCTTATGGAAATTGCTCTTTAATAGGAGTATTGCGTGGCATCTTCTTTAATTTTGTGTTTGGGACTGTTTCTACAATTTGATGTGAATATCGGTTTTCAATGCTTGACACGATGTGCATTTTATATTTGCAACTTCTATAAAGGTCTGGACACCCAATTGGGAGGCCTTTATGTTCATAAAGGTTCAAATGTGCCTCACAGCATCAATTTGCACAGTGAAGAATTTAATGTTACTTGCATGCTTGATTAATAGTTGATGCAACTCTCATGACCAATATCTAGTGACTACCATATGTTTCTTTCATAGGGTCAATATTAATAATTTAAAGTACAACATGTCTCTTTTGATTTTTCCCCTTCTGAATTTGGATCTGATTTCTTTGATGTTCTAGGGGAGAGCCAAAATGCTGGTACAGTGTTCCTGGTAGTGAAGCCGGTGCTTTTGAGAAGGTAGGTCTTGGATTCTTATGATGTTTTTATTATATTATTTTCTCCATGAAGAAAAATTATACAATTTTCAGGCATCCCTTGAAATAGATGTTCATGAGATAGTTGGTTTCCCATCCCACTTAAACACATACCAATTGGCATTCGAGTTCATTGGTGATAGTTTTGGAAAGGGATAACTACAAAGTGATGCAGAACGGGGAAGGGAAGAGGGAAAATATAAGAGAAAAGAGTAGACAAAGAGAGTAAAGAGAATATAGAGGAAAGAGAAATTTTGAGGAGAGACAAGGTAATGAAGCAAATGAGTTGAGGTGCTATTTATAGCTTTCAACCTAACCCTAGAAATAATGTATTAAAAGCAGAATATTCCATAAATCCTAATAATTAAATGCAAATATTCTAAAGTAATTTAAAAGATAACCTAATAATCTAAAAGATTACATTTTTCATGTCAAATCCTAAGATCATTCTAATAGAGTAAAAATCTTAAATCTAATTAATTTGTATCCCATCATTTTTCCCCATTTTGAAGAAACTCTCATCTAGAGAGTACAATTGATGATTGCTCTAGGGAAGCAAGATGTGAATAGGAGATTCCGTGGTCAGCATGTGATGGCATGTGGAGCAACATCTAGTAATGATCTTTGATAGATAGATAGCGTTTTAAGGCGGGACACAACGATGATGGTGGTTTGAAGATTTGATTGGTGGATATGGACAATCTAGCTTTTGACAATGAGTTGAATATGTAAAATCTTGTGTCTTGTGAGTAGTTAAAGTGATATGGCTTTAAGAAGATCTTTTAGGGAAAGTTTGTTAGTAGAAATGAGGTGGGAACTAGACTCTAATACTAATTGATGCAAAACGAGGGAGGGGAAAGGGAGAAGATAAGGGAAAGGGAGAAGATAAGGGAAAAGGGAAATTCAGAGGAGAGGCAAGGTAATAACAATTCTTATTCAATATAAATTCTAATAATTAAATGCAAATACTCTAAAATAATTTAAAAGATAACTTAGTAATCTAAAAGATTACATTTATTCAAATCAAATTCTAAGATCATTCTAAGAAAATAAGAATCTTAAATTTTAAATCTAATTAATTCTATATCCTATCATGAAGAGTCTTGGTCGTTGGAGGGTTTTGATTGGCAAGGAAATTGAGTGAGGTTTCATTGAGTGAAGAGTCATGGATTGTAGCCATTGAGACATCGACTCTCCAAGGGGAGCAATTGGTGGAGATTTAGGTTGTATGGGATGCCAAGTCCTTCACATTGAGTAGTATGAGATACTGTCTAGGGTATTTAAGTGGGCTTGTTTCCTTCTCTTAGTAGCTAGCTTTGGGGCGGAGGGTTTTGCATCGCAAGTGAGTACATATCACAAGATATATTTATTTAAATGTATAACCACCTTACATCATATGTCGTATTTGTAGCAAATTGCTTTAACAAATAAATTATGAGGCTGTTATTATTTATACAAATAAATTTTGAGATGTGTGAACATTTCCAATGGATTGACAGGACTACTTAATGGGATAAGGCTCATTTTGTATTAAAATCCTTACTTGATGAGGTGAAAAAAAGGCATGGAGGGCAAAATGACATCTAATACTTGCTTTATATTTTTCAACTTCTGTTTTCTTTTGGTGTTTTCCTTCCTTGCTATTGTGTATCCTACCAGTCAAACCAAAGGCACAGGAACACAACTGAATATACTAGAAAAAACGAGGGGAGTAGTCAAGATGCTCAATATGGGACAATCCCTGGTGTGTGTGTGAATATATAATAGATTTTGTTATCACCCACAAATAATATACATTTGACACATGTCATAACAGAATGCAAACTATGTCTCACACTATATAGTACGTGCCTGTCTAGAAAAAAAAAAATCCACACACATGCGCAAAAATAAATGAATACCAACTCTGCCACTGGTATGCATGTGCAAAATAGGTTCACTTAAGGCTTTTAGTTATATCTACTATTGCTTTTCTATCAAATGTTACCCGCTGAAGTTGATTTCCACTATCAGTTGATTATTACCTGGTCTGCATTTTTCCTCTTCTTTTTTATTAACTATAGCTTCCTTAATTTTTAGTTTGTTCTGGCAATTTACTTTCTGTTTTGATTCTCAAACATGGCTCTCCATAAAATGGTCCACTTTGTTGTAGGTGATGAGAAGCAGTCTTCCTGATCTTTTTGATGCACAACCAGATCTGCTTTTTCAGCTTGTAACAATGTTAAACCCATCTGTTTTGCAAAAAAATGGAGTTCCAGTCTACAGCATAATTCAGGTTTCATATGGCCTTGTCATATTACAGTTTTGCGTTTGTGTTTTTTATTGAAAGTGCAGGGTTTTGTGGAAGCTATTAAATTAGAGCACAAGTGGTTTAGTTGTTGTAAATCGTAAAATAGGAACATATAATGAGCACTCCAAAGTTTGTGTAGTAGATGGAAATAGACATCATTGAAGATCCATTTTGTTTCTAGTTCACATGTTGTCCTGACTTTGTCCATATGAAAGTAATTTGACTGTTTGAGTTATGATAGTAGCTTTGCATTATAATTACCTTCTATGCATGTGATGCATAATAATTAGAGAAAAGGGAAGGAAAGAGAGGAAATAGAGGAAACAGAGAGAGAAAGAGATTAGAGAGGAAGATAGAATTTGGGAACTCAAGTCTATTATTTCCAAAACTGATTACAACGGTCCTTTTGATGCTCTTTTATAGCCTATACCTGACACCCCTAAGTAGCTATCCTAACTACCTATTAACCCCTTTAACTAATATTATTTATTTATTTATTACATAACAATACTCCCTTCCCAGAAGACCCTTGCCCTCAAGGGTCAAGTACAAAAAAAATCCTCAGAAAACTCAATTGTAACCTTGAAGAAGACAAGTAAATTGACTATAGGTCTCTCTGGCCTTATTTAAAGTTAAAGCATATGAGATACGTCCATAGGCACATGAATCCAGTAGACAGTAGGTATTAGGTCAGTTATTGGGCCTTTTAGGTCTGACCCAGTACAGATTCTGGCTATTCCTCCTTTTTTTTTCCCTTCTAGACTTAAGAATATCATACTACCACCACATTAACCAACCATGTCAACACCTAAAACATGCACCCATGTGATTCTCTGAGCAGAAAAAACAAGAAACTTTCTTTCTTTGTCGAAAACTTCTGCATTTCTCATTCTTGCAAACTTCTCTCTCTTTCTTGGAGCTCGAACACAGCCCTGACTTTGCAGAGACTTTTGGCTGTGCAAATGAAATAGAGACAGTGATGAAGAAATGAAGACAGACAATGCTAAGGAAGTATGCAGAGGCCATGATAGATGAAACCAAGGAGACAGCTGCAGTGACTTTGGAAAACCAAGAGTAGATAAGGTTAAAAGCCTATGATCACGAGGGACCTAGGATGAGAAAAACTCTGCAACTTGACTGAATTGCTATTTCAAAACTTCTTGAACAACTCAACTTATATCAGCTTCAAGGTGCAAAGGCTAAGTGACGGCGATGACCCCTCTAGCTGATACGGATGACGTCGGCCTTCCTTGGGTCTCCTTGAAATTACCTTGCTCAATGTCTAGAATACACTGGAGCCCTTTCGCGATGTTAGCATCATGCACTAAGGATTGTTGAACCTTGTCACATACTTCTTGGGATGTGAATGAACAAGACCCTCTATTTTTCTTGCTCAGTTTTGAACTCTCTTGGGTCTGTCACAGAGATGATTGAACCAAACCCACCTTCAACATTCTTGGCCCCATCCCATTGTCCAATTGATTGGCGCTTAATGTTCCACCATAAGAAGTTCTCTTGTCTCTGTGCAAAACTTTTGGCATCATTTAGGGTGATGGGTTTGAAAAGCCATACCCTTCTACTATTTCTTCTTGAAGGCCCACCACATACATATCAATCAAATCGCCTTTAGAAAACATGTAGTTGCTGGTGATGGTGTCGAAAGCATAATTGTACTTGGCCACACAACCTTGCTACTTGACCAACTTATGCATTCTTGGGAGCATAACATCCTCTCTATCTTCTGCAATTGACCTTGGATATCAGGTTAATTGTCTTGACAACTGGAGGAATGCTTCTTGAATATCATCTGCTAGTTGCCCCATTGATTTCAGAGCCCTCCCCTCTGGTTTGAGGAGGGAGTGGCTTTGATACCACTGATGCATAATAATTAGAGAAAAAGGAAGGAAAGAGAGGAAATAGAGAGAGAAAGAGACTGGAGAGGAAGATAGAAATAGGGAACTCAAGTCTATTATTTCCAAAACTGATTACAACGGTCCTTTGGGTGCCCTTTTATAGCCTATACCTGACACCCCTAAGTAACTATCCTAACTACCTATTAATCCCTTTAACTAATATTATTTATTGATTGATTTATTTATTTATTACATAACAGCATGTTTGCTCAGAAACATAACAGCAGCACTATTGGTTTTAATGTTCATTGTATTCTCTTCATGTATATTGAACCTTTGTTATGATTCTTTTCATTCTTGATACTTGTCAGGAGCCTGGGAATTTTGTCATTACCTTTCCCAGATCTTACCATGGCGGTTTTAATCTTGGTATAGTGTTATGTCCCTGATCCTTGGTGACCAACTTATACACAATCTAATGTACATCATGTCTTGTATTGTGGAATAACATACCAGGTTGGTTGCATTTTCAGGTTTAAATTGTGCAGAGGCAGTTAATTTTGCCCCTGCTGACTGGCTACCTTATGGTGCATTTGGAGCTGATCTCTACCAGCGATATCACAAAGCTGCTGTCTTGTCTCATGAGGAGCTTCTTTGTGTAGTCGCCCAGGTTTAAACATTTTCTGATATCTTGTGTGTTTTGAAATAATAGTTTATTCGTTAGGAATGTAAAGCCTGTTATTTTGAAGTGTGCAATTTTTTTCTGCTCTCATGACCACAATATTTTGTTTTCTATGCATGAGCTTGAGATATTTGTGTTTGAGCGAGTAAAGCTTTTTCCTCATTAGCAACTATTTTCAGTTGCAGAATGCCATGTTAATAGAACCTTTAAGAAGAGACCTTCTGAATGTTGGTTTTTGCTACCTCCAAATGTATTCTTTTTTTCTTTAATTATCAAACAGTGTATTCATAATTGATGATCCTGTATTGGGTTATGTGAAGAGCTATTATTTCCTGATGATATCTTATCTACTCTTTGCCTGTTGTTCTATTTTCAATTGTTCAGTTTTGGATTTTAGCTGATTAATGCCTCCTCTTTTTCCCCCTTCCCCCTTAATTTTAATTTGTTGGGTATTTTCTTGTAGGTAAGGTTATGAACTTCATGTATGTCTGTGTTTTATTATTTTTATGCCACTGACTTTAGAATGATTGATTTTAAAAATTTATGCATCTAGCCCAATTGATGGCCTTAGATGATATTGTAAGTTATCAAAAGGAGAATAATATTGGTATCTTTAATTTAACATGATAAAAAATTTATCATAGCAATGTATCCTGTCAGTTTATTCTATAATGCAGTGTGGCGCTTGCTGTTTCTGTTACATAAATGGTGGTGAGGAAGGGGAAATTCAGGTATATTGTTAGGACCCCCTTTGTAGAGGAAACACATTGTTGCCATTAGCCTATTTTCTTAATTGCTATTGGGGTTTTAGTTTTACGCTGTATTGCACCACTATTTTGAATTTTTGGTTTACGATCTTTTCTTCTTCATATTTTTTGAAGAAATAAAGAATTCTTGTATTGGTTTTTCTATTTTATCTTTATAATATTAAATTTTATTTGATTTTGTTTGTTGGTTGGTTTGTCTTTTTTTCTTTGGACAAATTGTTGGTTGGTTTGTCAAATCTCAAGCTTTTTAGCAATCTAAAACTTCTTGTTTGATTGTCTTATCGTGCTCAGTACAGTGACATTGATACCAGAGCATCTCCTTATTTGAAGAAAGAATTGCTTCGCATATATGATAAAGAGAAATCATGGAGAGAAAAACTCTGGAAAAATGGTATTGTCAAATCATCTTGCATGGCTTCTCGGCAATATCCTCAATATGTAGGAACTGAAGAGGTATGGTCTGTTTAAACCGATGGCAACACATGTGTTTATAACTTCATCCATTGTAATTGTTATTACTGTTGTCTTTTGTAGGATCCGTCATGCATTATTTGCCAGCAATATCTATATCTTTCAGCTGTTGTGTGCAGCTGCAGGCCATCTTCTTTTGTATGTCTGGAGGTAAATAAATTATTTCCTCTACTGAAAATGAGTTTGCTTACCATGATCTTTTATCTTTTACCATTTCATGAATGTCAAATTCAAGAAGAAAAGTTAAACTAGACCTGTGTCTTATTTATGCAAGTTCAAAGTTAATTATTCTCGGTTAAGTTATGCATTTCAACAGTTTCAAAACCCTTGAATGGAGGAAATATTGTAAGCATAGTGCACTGCTCCATTGATGTAAACTCACTAAAAAATTCTTAGTACTTTTATCATCACAGATATCTACATGGGTCCAAAAAAAAACTGGGGGTTTTTTATTAATTTCTATGTCGTTGGGTGCAGTATAATTTGTGGATTTTTTCCTGTTTTATGATCATTTTATGAGTTCTAATTCAGTAACAGGTTTGAATATCACCCATCAAATTGGGGGATCGCTATTATTGTCTTGGGTTTGAGGAAGCAACTTGGGAAACTAGAATGTGAGGTTAAATATCCAGCCACATTTTTTAGATAGAAAAGAAATTTGTTAATGAGAAGAGAGAACTGCAGAACAGAGTACATGAATAAAGGACAAGAGGTCCTCCTCAAACAGAAGGAAAAATAATGAAAAGTAACAACCCTTACTCTTCAGCATAAAAGTTTTCTAAAGGGATATGTGAACAAACCATAAGCTGTACCCCACATGGAGGACAAAGAAACCCAAAAACCAAAAACTGCAGGGGAAGATATTGCTTAACTATTCTAGCATTTGGTTCTAACCAAAGACACTACTAACTATCAAAGATAGGACCTTGTCTTTGAACTTTAAGCTCCTTTTGCCTCCCAAGACGAGATTAATAGCCAAGAAATCTCAAAGGCTGGTTGAACAAATGCAGGTCTTATCAAGACGCCAAACATCCTTGTATCATGCAAATCAATATTTGGACTTTGAATTAAAAGATGAAATAAATATGAACTAATTAAAACAAAAGGAAGACGAACAACAATAAGAATTTGTACTCCTTGTATTATGCAAAGAAGAAAATGGAACAAGACAGGTGTTTCCAGCAATGCATCCTGCATTTTCCTGTTGATACATTTTGAATTCCGACTCAGTTCTTCTGATTTGGTTTTCTTCTTGTAGATATTGAATTCCCAGTCAATGACCTTGTCATTCGGAATTAGGAATTCATATATTACAATATTTGAAGGCCAGTTTAACATGTTTAGGTTTCTTGGATCTGAATAGTGTTGGATTTGTTCCATAGGAATGCTGATTTTTCAGTGAATTGAATATTGATGTCTCTCTTTTGCAGCACTGGGAACATCTTTGTGAGTGTAAAACTGTAAAACTACGTCTTCTCTATCGTCACTCACTTGCAGAATTGCATGACTTGGGACTTTCTGTGGACAATTATACTTCTGATGATAAAGCACTGTTTAGGAATATAAGAAAGCACTCTTCATGTCCGGGCACTTTGACAAAAAAGGTTGTATAATTTTTCTCCCCTTCTCTTTGTTTTTTAAAGTTTACACTATTATGTACTTGTTTCCAGAAGTTACATTTGCAATTAAAATTTAGGGTTGTCTTTGCTTCTATATGTTTGACTGTGTTGTTCTTCTATGATTGGCATGCTCTGTTTGCCCTCCCCACTTGATTCAATCATGCTATTGAATTGCATGACCTTGAAATTGACTATGACTTGTTAATAGGGGTATCGTTTGTGTCTCAGTAGTTTGTTATTGAAGTGTTAGACTTAAGCAGTGGCAGTGCCTTTAGTCTTTATAATGACTTGTGAACACACAAGGTCTACTAAGATTTATTTAAATGGTACTATTGTTTCAACTAACTTTAATTACCTAATACTGCATTCGGATGTAGGGGGATTTAGATTTTAGCCGAATCAATCATTTGGATTCATATTTTATTATAATTATTCTATAATTTTAAATTCCTTCTACACCCTAGTTATATGAAATATCAGCCACACTAACCCTTTCGTTCTATTCCCATTTTCATTTCTCATCTCCTTTTCATTGTCTTTGAATTTGAAAATTTTTAAACTACCCAAAGGATTTGGGAGAGAGGGAGGGCAAAGAACTGCATCTGCAAGAAAAAGAAAGTGAAAGAGAACATGATAGAGACTTGGTAGTATGGGATATCAAGTCCTACATTGAGTAGTATGGGTTCCCTATCCTACTTAGGTATCTATCAATACTCCCCAAATTTTGAGAGTTTAGGGTCTCTTTACAGAATCACTCACTCACTGATTACTAAAGATGAGAATTACAAGCTGGTACTTATGGTTTCTTCCCTAACTTTCATTGCTTTAAGTTTGCTCAATGACTTTTTGAATTTTCTTCCCATCACAGCAGGTTCCAATGCTTCTATAGTCATCTGTACAAGTCCAGTTTGATCCCATGCTCAAGGAAGCATAATGCTTGACTATTCTGTCCTATAGCCATATTGTATCCCATACTTAGTGTCCCATTTTAGAATATCAATTTCTTCAATAGATTTTGTCGGAAGCTTGTGTTCAACCGAGTAGAGCAAATTTCCATCTGACTGGGAATTGCTAGGCTAACCCATATACACTGCTTTCCATTGTTAACAGAAGTCGGATGTTGTCAAAACAATTATCACATTGTGACCACAATCAATCGTATAAAATTGTACACAATCAGAAACAAGATACAAGTGGATTCCAGTTGAGCTTCTTAGTTCTCATGTTCAAAGAACTTTTTGTTTCCATCACTTGAAGTATGTAGTTCCCAGCCATTATAACAACATAAGTTTGAAACTCGTCACGATAAATGAAATCAACAATTATAGAAGCCATAGCTTGGACTAAACATGGTTGAATTCCATTCTTCTCTACACGATGGCTTACCATGACTTAGACGTTCTTCAGATTCTTTGTTATTCATTGATACCCCAACTAGAATTATTACAACCATCCATGGGAGATAGAAGCTTCTAAGTAACTGAAATAGGACAAGTAGAGCATATATAAAGAGTTATAGGTCCATGAATCATTGACATGCTTGGCCCATTGGTTATAGTCCAATCAATGACAGCTAAGAATAATAAGTGTCCATCATAATAATATTAGGAACATCTATAAAATCATTATGGATAGTAGCAAAAGGGATGGCTGGTGTATAATTTGCTTTTGGTAATGATGTTTTGTGGTGTTTGGCTAATTCACACACTTTCACATTTTGCATCAAGTTTATTGTTTGAACAAAGAGATGGAACAAATGAGATAGGTACTGGAAATTTGGATAGCCTATTCTCTTATGCCATAACATGACATCCTTAGTTTTACAGGTGGATATGGAATTGCATACCTTGGTTTGATGTTGGTATCTCACTCTATCATCTTCAAGAATGTAGAGTCCCTTGTACTCTTTAGCTCTGCCAATCATCATCCCTGATGATAGATCTTGAAATGCACAATGGGATGAGAGAAAATTAGCACAACAGTTGGATTGCTTTGTCAATTGGCTAACTGACAATAGGTTACATGCTAATTTTGGTACATGGAGAGTAGATTTCGAAGTTACAGACTTTGGAATGTGAATGCATCCTTTTCTAGCAATAAGAGCTAGAGAACCATATGCAATTTTAACTGTCAATTTTCCAACACATTGAACTTAGGTAGGAACCAATTGATGGAAATCGGTCATGTGATTCGATGCTCTAGAGTCAACAATTCACAACATTTTGTCTTGAGAGATTTTTAGGACTTGAAGAAAGTTACCTCCTTGTGCCAGAAAAGACAAAAGCTGAATTTGAGATTGGACCTGCAATAATTGTGTCTCCAGGTTTAACATGTTTAGATTGAGTATGTTCCATTATGAGTCTTTGAAACAACGTGAGAACTCTACTACAAACCAGATCCACTAGGCTTAGACACATTAGTATTTGGACCAGGAGTTGTATCCCTATTAAAGCTATCTAAACACTTGAGGTCTCTACTGCTTGTTCATTTTGGTTCCGAGCATAACCAATGATCAAAGCCCACATATGCAGTACCCACACATGAGAAATTACAGGAAGAGACTAGATATATTTCATCATTGCCAAAGAAGATGATTGTTGTTTAGAAAAGGGTACCACATGCTATCACACATGTGAAAGAGGCTTTTGATGCAAAATCGTTGATTAGAATGTGTGGCTTGCATGCATAGCTGGTGGTGATGAACTTCTAGGGTTATGTCGATCAGAGGTCGTCAAACCTCCCTGGAGTGGTAGTGAAATCTAGTTCCTTCATCCCTTCTTCACACTCAATTCCCTCGTGAGAGAATGATGGTTGGAACACATCTTAGAAGAGAAAAACCCTAACTTGAGCCAACCTGGCTCTGATATCATGTGGAATTTGGGAGGGAAAATGATTTCATTGATTGATTTTCATTTTACAAGGCATGGGGATTTATACAGCAACAGGGATATTTACAATGAATGCAAAATATTCCCCATACTATCAACATCTACCCGTAGACTTATGATGAAAATAAATGCAATGAAAAACTATTTTTCCACAAATTACACTCTCCTCTCCTTATCTCTCCACTTTAACTACTCTCTCTCTTCATTTAAAATACTTTTCATCCTTTTATTTTCTTGTCAATTTTTCTTTTTCCAATTTTCATTTTATAAATTTTCAAAAGAAAGAAAAAACATATTCCATTCTTTTGGACTAGAACATTCAATTGCAAATTGCTTCCAATTTCCTAGTAGGCATTCCAAACGGGCATTTTCAGTTTCATACTTAAAGATATAACTGATTTTAATTTCAAGTAGGCACTCCAATCAATATCTTTTAATTTCTTGTCAAGTTTTTTATATTTTTATTGTATTAATTTTCACAAAAAAAGTAATACATTTATTTTATTGGACTAAAAAATTCAATTGAATATTGCATGTTGTTCTAGAGATGTGTTTGAGTCTTTTGACCTATTCGGTTTTGCCCCAATGTCCCAACCATAGTCATCCCTAGTCACTAAATTTGACCATACTGCTGCCAAGTTCAACTCTGAGAGAACATCTCCAGAGCAAAGTGACCGCTGTAGATATTGATGCTAAGAACCTAAAGAGTAGGATGCCCTTTTTTTTTGTTTTTGGGTCACCAGGAAGCACTTGTACTATATCCAATGTTTCTATTTTCTGATTCAAATAACTTTCTTGATGCGAATGTGTTATTGTGCTAACTTACCTTGGTAAGTTGCTTTTTATATGCTAGTTGCATTGTAAAACAATAAAAAATTATAATTTTCACTCAAATGATAAACTATTTAACATCAATATTTAATGTTAATGTTATTTAGAAAAATCTTAAGACAAAATTCAAAACACAACGTTTGAAGATTGAATGGAATAACTATTTTGAAAATGATAGCACATGTAATTGAATAAGTTTTAATTTAATAAAATAAAATAGCATGTATGATTTTTTTTTAATTTATAAAATAAAAAATAAAAAAAGAAAAATAAAAAATTGGCAATAGATTAAAAGGGTGAAGAATATTGTCAATGAAGAAGAGTGTGTAACTAAGGTAGAGAGATAATAAAGAGAGAATAGATGAAAGCTGAGAGATAAAAGCAACAAATGTAAAAAATGTGGGACCCACCATTTGTGATTTGTAATCTTTGTATTGGGCGGGCACAGATGACATGGTACTCTTGGAGTGCTTAAGAATTTCTCCCTTAATATGAGAACTTTTATAAAATTTAGTGGAGCATTAATGAGTGATTTTCACAAATACCCTTGATAATTTTAACTATTTCTCTCATTAATTATATTGGGAAGTGAAAATTGGGAATAGAGACTAGCTTTTATTAAGGGTTCTTTTGAAATGGTCCAATAAATTTTTACCAAATAAAAGCTTCTAACTAATTTTAACTGCAATAAAAGCTTTTATTAAGGTTTAGGCTTTTAAGATGTTCCTTCCCTTTCAACATCCAAATGCATCGGTGCTTGCCTTGACATAAGGGAAAAACACCAAAGGCGTGGCCAGGCAAGTCCCTGTCTAATGTGCATCTCATGGTATGAGAGGCTCTGGCTTTCTTCAACACCTTAGGCATTAAGATGAGCAGATTTAAGTAGACTGGTGGCTGCTGCCCAAACTAATGTTCTTTGTTGTTCTTTTTGTGTTAGGAGTGTTGGATTTTTTTCTTGGCTTTTTTTTTTTTTTTGGGCGCTGCCCTAGTGATAAGGGACGCGAAAGCAGAATCATGCTAGTTTAGGGATAGAACCCTGAAACACAACAAAAACACAAGAACAAAAAGAAAGGGATGAAATTTATGATGAAAATAAAGAAAGAAAGGAAATAAACAACGGGATAATGATCAAGGATAAAATCCTCTAGAGCACCTACCTCTAGGAACCTCAACCTTCGAAGACACCACAAGAGTTGATCATACTCTTGATCACGTTTGTTTCTCATACGGGATGTCACCACAAAGTACTAAGGTTTACAAGAGTTA